GGTGTAAGGCTTTGATTCGGAATCGGCGATGCCCCTCTGACAGCCTTTCTTTGTTGCTGAAGATGTGCTCTGAGATTGCTCCCGGCCTGAGAGTCTTGTACGGGTGCCAGACGTGGAGGGTTACCGCGGCTAATGTTGCGCCGAGACGCAATTCGCCGTGACTCGCTTAGGTTCAATGCCATGTTGACTATCTGGGTTGAGTCGACGTCCAGCGCAGCACCTGGTTGCGATGCGTGCGCCCTACGGCCTCGCCTTTGCGCTTCATTCCTCTTTGTTATATGCAACTCTTCCTGAGATGTATCTGGCGACACGATGCGAGCACGAGGACCGCTGCCGGAGCTAATTCCAAGGCCTAGGTCCCGTGTGCCATTGGATAAATATGGTTCTTGAACATCCTTCCCCTTATGTCGAGATTTACTTCGATGTGCCCGGCGTTGGTTTCCGGAGTCATCATCTGTGGCCACGGGCTCCTGAAGCAAGAATGCACTGCTCGGTTGGGTCTTATATGGTCGCTTCGAACGGGCTCGTTTCGGTCGACCGGCTTGAAGGCCGCTGGGAACTGCAACAGCACCACGAGACTTGTGATGGTAGAGTGGAAGAGTCTCGTCATCGGAGAAAGCAAGAGGTCGTTCAGGGGATAGAGGAGCGTGGAGGAGAGCGTTCATGCTGGGTTCTCCTCTCTCGGCGGTGTCGTAACTAAACCTCGTGGGATGCTCTGGCGTAACTGGGCCATCCCGTCTGCCATATGCACTCAGCGACGAGGCAGCACGAGGGTCAGCCATTGCGCGCTGGTATTTACATACAACGGCAGCAGCAGGGGTAGACTCTCAGGCTCGCGCTCGAAAGAGAAGCGGGGAGTTGTCGTCAGTGTTGATGAATAAAGTAATATTGCAGCATCGTTTTTCTTCTTTTCAAGGGTCCTTGTCGATCTAATGCGCTAGATCCTGGTCAATATTGTTGTCCTTGGTGACGATGTCTTCTGGGGAGCTAATCTTGTACCGATAATGACGGCAACAAAAGTGTCGAGTTCGGAGTGGATGCCCGACAGGGGGAATCCGCCTCAAGAGCTCATCGCCCTCTTTGAAGTGCACGGGAATACGTCGCAGTGATGATGCGTTGGACCAAAGGTTTTCTTGTAAGTTGGTTAGGATGTTGCATTTGCGGAGCGTTCATGTTGAAAGGATTGGACATTAGACGTAGGGGTCCTTGGGTCTATAGGATGTCACGGGAGTGGATGTGACCCGTCGGGGTGCTACAAGACACTGAAGCCACAGGCGGCAGGGCCTCTCTGATGCGCCAGTTTTACGCCTTTCCCACCTATCCTAGGCACAAGCGTGGCGGGGAGTGACGCACGCGTGTCTTGATGTGGCACCTCATCTTGTGTTGGAGTACAAGGTTTGAGGGGAATCTTACACCTTATCCCAAGTACCGGGTGTCTCAGGCCCGAACTGCCGATACTCATCACATGAAAATAATTAACTCATTCGAAGCCAAGGTCTAAGTCAGGTTGCGGGAGCTGCTGAACACCTCCTAATGGCGGGGGTTTCAGGGACAGTCCAAGTTCATAAATAGAGTCATGCGCTTGAGATCTGACTCAACTATGGAATGGACCAGATCCTTAGATAGAGCTCAAGGCCGTAATCCTTCAGCGCTTTCTTATACATTTCTTATAGTGGCTGTTTTGTCTAATTGATACAGATACTGTTCAAAACTGGAATCAGTAGTAAGATCAGTAAGATCCTGATAGTTTACACAAATACTGTACACTTGTCGTGACAAAGAGGGGTACACATCATCAAACGTGCCATCCTTCTCTTACATCTTCTCTATGCACCGACAACCTCTTCACATCTGCCACATAGCGCGTCTTCCTTTGGCGCCATGTATCGCCAGCATCTGGAGCATTTTTCCTGCTTCGGGGGAAGCACATGCACATTGACCTTGGCGTCTTGGATCTCGAATTCCTTTTGGAAAGCCCAACCGGGATTTTCAGGGAGGGGTTCGTTGACTTGCACCGAAGACACAACAAATATGTCGTGGAGCTCATCCATGTAACGTCCAAGAACTGCCGCCGCTTTTCCATCCTCGACTTCCAGGTAGACTGCGCTCTGGAGAGAGCTGCCAAGCGCTTTGGCAGTTCGTGCATCCTCCAGTGTTGCCTTGACAGCGCCATGAACTTCTGTGATGATGGACTGATCCTTACGCACCACATCTTGAGGGAGCGTCAAACGCATAGGATCAACGAGAGGGTCATCATATAGCTGGCGAGCTGGGCTTATCAAGGAACTGATCAATGTTAGCAAATCGTAAACATGAGCGAGCACAGGACGATAACTCACGTGTCTTCAGTCATCCATTCTGGCCGGAACGACCAAGCCTCCTCAACAAGCATAGGAGTTATCGGTGCCAGCATGCGCAAGAATCCGATGAGGATAGGCTCCAAAACACCGCCGCCATCACCACAGTAGAGTCGGTCCTTCAGGGCCTCCAAGTAGAATGCGGACAAATCGGTTGCGACCCAGCGGTTAATTGTACTGACCGCTCTGTAAAACTCAAAGTCGTTGTATGACTGCATGACCTCTGACATGGTATCGGAAAGTTGAACAAGTGCCATTTGGTCTAACTTGGTCAATGGACTCTGACGGGCCTCTGGATAAATTGACCCGAGGAGCATCTTGATGATGGTTCGATATTTGATCAGCGAAGCATTAACAGGTCTAAGAATATTTGGTCCTATAAGAACATCTGATGTGAAATCGGCGCTCGCTGCCCATAGTCGAATGGCATCTGGGCCGAGGGGGTCAAGTTTTAGCCTGTTACCTCTGGAGTAAGCCTGTGAAAGAAGCCCTTTGATGACTTCGTTGGGGACAATCATGTTGCCCTCTGATTTTGACATCTTCTTGCCTTTCCCATCGAGCGTGAATCCGTGAGTGATCAAAGTCTTAAAAGGAGCAGAAGCTTTGCCAGTCGTCTCCTTTGATGTTTGTGTAGCAACATAAGTCAATAAACTGGATTGGAACCATCCGCGGTGTTGATCGGAACCTTCAAGGTAGACATCAGCAGGGCCCTCAGTTTCTGTCCATGAGCTGCCGCTGTCAAACCAAACATCCATAGTATCAGTGCCTCGGCAGTATTTGCCCTCCATGTTGGGTGGGATCCAAGCAGGTTCATCTGGGTCATCAGAGAACCAGGCAGACGAAGAACGCTCTTCCATAACTGAGATGATATGGTCGATTGTTTCTGTTGTCATGACAGCATTTCCGTTCTCGTCATAAAGTGCAGGAATGGGAACTCCCCATGATCGCTGGCGAGAGATACACCATTCGCTGCGACGTGTGATGAAAGCTTCTAGACGATTACGACCACCCCTTGGAACGAACCGAACATCCTTCAGTGCTTCAAGGGCATCATCTTTGATACTACCAACATCAGCAAACCATTGGGCTGTAGCACGAGTCACCACAGGTCGCTTGGTTCGCCAATCGTAAGGAAAACTGTGACGTTGTTTATGGCTTCCAAGTACATCGTCGCCCACTAATTCCAAAACAGCGTGACTTCCACCATCCATGACGGAACTCGCTTTTGTGAGCTTCTCTGGGTCGTCAGGGTAAGCTTCTTCAGTGAAGAAACCGCCATCGTCGATAGGAGCAAATGCTTCAATGCCGATTTTAGAGCACACTTCATAGTCGTCCCGGCCGTGTCCGGGGGCAATGTGAACCAGACCAGTACCAGAGCTGGAGGTCACGAAATCTGCAGTAATGATAGGCTGCGGCGGAGCAGATTGCCCCCGGAGTTTGTTCTTGTACTCTAGACCTTTCAAGCTAGAACCCGGAATGGAATGTGCTACAACTTGAAAGTCGCCAAGGAAGCGCTTCATATTCCCAACACAGCTCGAAGCAACAAGATAGCCGTCATCGCCAACCTGGAGGATCGAGTACTTGATTTGGTCGTGGATGGCAATAGCCCGGTTGGCAGGGAGAGTCCAGGGAGTGGTTGTCCAAATAGTTGCATACAGGTTTCCCTTGAAATCGGCCAGTTCAGGTATCGATGACCAGTCTGAAATAATAGGGAACCTTATGTATGCGGCGGTAGAGACATGATCCTCCATGAATTGCAACTCTGCCTCAGCAAGCGCAGTCCGCGAAGAAGGTGACCAGTAAACGGGTTTGTGCTTGCGGTAAATCAATCCTCGACGGACCATGTTTTGAAAGACGCGCAATTGCCTTATCTCATATTCTCGGTCCATCGTTGTCCACTTCTTCTCCCAGTCTGACATAACGGCGAGAGCCCGGAATCCCTTCATCTGGTCCACAACCGTCTTGGATGCTAGCTTTCGTGCTGTGTCCCGGACTTCCACAGGAGTCAACCCCTTCGTTGTGTGCGATCCCAGTGCCTTCATCTCGATTGGAAGACCATGACAATCCCAGCCGGGTCGATATGTCACTCGTCGGCCTTGCTGCACCTTAACACGCACAATCATATCTTTGAGGATTTTGTTCATGGCATGGCCGACATGAAGCTCGCCATTGGCGTATGGGGGACCATCATGAAGAGTAAATGGCTTCTCCCCAGATCGATTCTGTGCTTGCCATGCGTATAAATCGTCGGTACATTGCTTGAGATAATTTGGTTCGAGCTTGGGGGTCGGTCGAGCACTGCGAGATCGGCTATATTAGGTCCCCACGTTCCAGTTTTGGAGGCTCTGCAAAGGGGAAGACATACGGAAATCTCGACCGAGGCAACCTCAAGGACGACTTCCAGGATTTAAGCATGGTTGATCAAGAACCATGTCGCACTTAATTAGGAAGGTTTTTGGTGTTGAGGTTAACACGGCTGAGCAATGGAGTTTTTTGGCGCTACTGGGCTGTTTAAGCAACCGTTCAATTCAAGCTCCCGCTATCCAATCGCTTACACAAGCTGCAAGGCTGACGCCAGGGCCCAATTCCAGACCTGAGAGAACTTCCATGACTTTTAGCGTGTCGCGACGCGATTTGTAGTGGACAGGTACTCATTACATCACTGAAGCGACGCCATGTCCAGCGTCGTTCACGCTACTTCCATTTACTACACTTCACAATCTCACATATAGCGTCAAATACACGATGGCTCCGGTCCGACGATATCTGAGGATATCCAAGTACTCAGTTCTTGAATGCCGGATTTATTTGGATAACCCTGCATTGGCCCAATCATGGCTTCTGAATCCTCGAAATCCAGTATTACCCAAGGTCATCGAAAGCATCCGTCCTTTGGTGCTTCCGAAGCTTCGTGAAGAGAAGGAAAGGATTAGAAAGAAGAGCAAGAAGAAGAGCATCAAAGACGTCATAGTATCAGGTACGTGTGTTGAGATCTATTTTTGTCTCTGTCAGCAGCTGATCTCACTTAGACGAGTTTGAGGTCTCCATCTTCTTGACAGAGACGAGCACGAGACATTCTCTCCTTTACAAAACCAAACATTTCAGGGACAGGCTACCACCGAAACTCGAGTCCAACTCCTCTAAACTCATCGGTGAGACAGATAGTGTTCCCGTGGACGTTGAAGATGAATATCGTGCACCTGTCTTGCAAGAAGACGATGATGAGGTGAGACTCGCCGATATTCCTGTTGCGGAAACAACAACACGACGGAGTAAGCGCCAAAGAGGAATACAGGATCCGGAGCAAGATGGCAATGATGAGGCATTTGAAGATGATGAAACAGCCTCGGCCATCGAAATCGATTCTGATACGGAGGCACCCCCACACAAGAGGCACAGGGCGCGGACGAACGACGGCCTTGACGGAAACGAAGACAAGAAGAAACTAGCTATGGACGTCTCATATGAGGGATTTGCAATATACGGTCAGGTGCTGTGCCTCGTGGTCAAGAAAAGAGCAAACGCTGCAGCTAGCAGTGGTGGGGGTGGAAAAGCCCGGCCAGAAGGCCAGGCGACGATGGAGAATTGGATTTCTTCTACACAAGTGCCTGCTGGGGAGGACATTCCATAACCGAGACCCCAAAAGAATAACCGAGGTAGTCAAAGAGCCTCCTACGCTTATGCTAATCTTGCCCAAGTCTTTTTATTGTTTGGGATCGAGGTCTTGAATCTTCTTGCTTCTCTGGCTGGCCTGAATGGCATGACAATTTGATGATAGGCCGACGAGGGTTGACCCGAATACCGGGGTTTGACAGACGGGAACTGCGGATACGGCCGTCGGGTTCCTGTGGGTGTTCGGGCTGGCTGCGGGCGGCGGGAGGAGACAGGCTACCGGTGACTCTACTGCGCACTCAATGCCTGATATATCATTTGCTGATCACAGTCTGCTGCCGAGCTTGTCACGTCAGTCAATTCATCAGTCTAGTCTGGCGAAGTACGATTTACAACAAGGTATGGATGATCAATCACATAGGTAGTGCCTTGGATATTTAATTAGGCAAGAATAGCATCATTGTTACAGCCCACCTCGACCGGGCCGCTCAGACATCACCGTCAACCACGGGCCTCGATGTTTCTTGGCGTCGGTCTCGCATGGGTCCTGTCTCCAGCTTGGCACAGCAACGATGATCTGGAGTTGACAAACAGACGAACACCAGGCCCCTACCACGAGCCCCGTTATGAAGCTGGGTTGGTGTTCTGCATGGTTGCAGCCGTAAACCTGGAGCAGCGCACTGTGGATGAGGAATATCGGGTCTTGGCGAGTTGCATGTCTCAGAGTGATATGACAAGAGGAAATCTATAAGCCCGACGTCCGGAGGAGATACTCCCATGGAGGAGTTTCGTGTATATCCCGCACTTGATCCTCTTATTTGTGTATCATCAGACTGATCCTGGTACCGTTGGGTGGCATAATGGGTCTCAAGAGCAAAAATGAGGCCTTTTTGATATGGAATCCCAGTTTCGAAAATATTCGGTAGATCCTCGATGATAGGTGTACGTACGAGTGTCACATTTTTTGAGGTTATGATGGGTGTGAAAGCGAAATTCCATCTCTAAGTCCCTTGTCCAGCAGGTCTGGAAAAGCCGGATGATTGCGGACCATTACATTGCCGGCATACGGCGTTGTAACCCAACCGGTTGGTCACAAATGAGTATCCAAGCTATTATGAATATATTTGATAGTGTCAAGACATGACCCTTGAGCGGAGTGTCAATCGGCTGTCATGGTTTATTGTGAATGTCTCAGATGTTCCGGTGAGGCTTGCTTTGAAATTGAATTGTATTTGACGCCCTTTATCCATGTCAGCCTTTCACCCTTCACTATATGCGTCTGGCTGAAGTTGGTCACGTCGAGACTCGGGAGCTTCGATATCAGCACGGCACTTCGCAAGATGATCGATATCTCCACTTAGAGATGCCCAGTATAGGAACGGAAACTTTCGTTCAGGTTTGGACTACGTTAGTCTACCCAGCATGTCGTAATCGGCACTTAGAATGTGAGAGGCAGTGTACATCATGAAATGTTCAGTAAAGGATTGAGGTGCATGGAATATGATTTGTGATAAATTTATCCAGGCTGAGCTGATAAAACAGCCGTTAAGGAGAGTCGTTTGTGTAATTGATGAATGTCGCGGATACGGATACGTTGCCTTGGGATGATTGTGTTGCCTTACGCGTCTCAATGGCTTGGATTATATCGTAAATATGACAGCCTGATATAAACGAGCTCTCAAGACTCGGGGCCGAACGCTTCGCCGATGACAAGACACGGCAGCATCGGAATTTGGGTCACAAGATGCTCAACCATCATCATTACTCATCAATGTGATGTTCTTGACCCCCTGGTACCTTGTGCCTGTGCCTTGTGCCTGTCTGTGCCTGTGCCTGTCTGTGCCTTGTGTCTGTGATGGAGGGGGGGTTTTCAGTGATGAGGTTGGTAGTTTTAGCAACAAAGGCGCAGTATGAACCGTCACCAGCACCGCAATCTCTCTGTTTGAGTTTTGCGAGTGAGTACATATCTGTTTCTAAACAGAGGATGACTGTACCAACGTCTAGGTTGGCGTCTCAGAGAGACAATGAGGGCGGATGGATGACATGCCTCGCAGCAACTAAACACTAGCGGCGAGTAACCCCGCAACCACAGACACAGAAAAAGCAAGGGTCATGGAGAATACTCAAAGTCAATTCGATGAAACACATAAACTCGGTGAGTAGGCAGCCAGCTGTTTGGTCTCATGACGGGGGACACTTTGGTACAAGTGGTGTTGGTACCTCTGGGCTTGGGGAGACCATGAGACCATTCTCATTATGATGACATGGATATTGCAGTTTGTTTGTTAATTCCTTGCATTTGGTATCCATGCATGTCTGTATGTATATGCAGATGCATGCATGCATGTTTGTTCAGTTCTTGGCTTGTAGACACGCCTCCACCATTTGCAACTTCACTGCCTGCCTCCGGTACAGCGGCACGATATGTACGCAATTCTTCATGGCATAAACATCAGCCAGCAGTGAGTGAGATTGTGATTATCAACTTACCAGCGTACGTGGGCCCTTTCGAGCCCCTCTTCTTCCGGCCTATTACCTCTCAGCCGGAACTGATACACACGCTGTCGTGGCATCGCTGGAAGGCGCTTACAGACATGCTCGTGCATGCTGATACCGCTACCTACTGTGCCCTCGTTGTCATTGTATCGCTTCCATTTCCCCATATGGAGATCTGCTGCTCAGGCCATGCATTCGAAACATCATCTTTCGATTCCTGGGATTTGCACGTCTCAGCCTTGAAAAGACAATCCCATGGCTGTGGCAGGCATCACACCTACTCTGACTGCTGTGCCACTGTTAGTTTCTAGTTCCCAGAACATGGTATGGTAGACACACCATAATAGTTTCACCATCCTCATGTCCTACCTTGTATGCTTCTGCCTTGTAATACTGTGCCCTGGCTGTTCTGCTCTGCGTTATCCCGATTACTATGACTGTTACTGATGCTGAACTTCCCCTCATCCGCCCCCACGATAACTCCATCCTTATACCCATGACAGCTAGTCACGCTCAGAGATGACTCTGGCTGCCGACCATTCGCTACCAGGATCTAATTGAGTTATGAGCCAATGATGATCCCAACTCTGATCTTCCCCTCTCCAGAACCGTTGCAGATTTTACCGTTGGGGGCCGCACCCGTTCCAAGATATGCTCACACTAGTTGAACTTACGGCTCACTGCAGTACCTAATGCTAGTCCAGTGGAGGATTCGACAACTCAGCAGAGGACATGCATGTTTCGCCGTGTTTTTGCTTGCGAATATTGTCCCGTGACTCTCTTGTGCAGGTTTTAGACCAGAGATCCATCCTTTAGGTTCGTTTATGGCCATTGTTAGTGGCCGCCCGATCACCACCAACCATATCAAAGAACGACACGTCTTGCATTGATCTCGATCTTCAACTTTGCATAGTTGACCGCTTGTTCGACTAACCCATCTTTTCCTTAAATAACACTACACTGCACTACACGACGGTATAGTTCGACCAGGCCGTGGAGAATGACGCTGACTTGAGTAAATCCGCATATAGGGTAGAGCATGGTGTTTCAAAGCTATGCATACGCCTTACTGTATCACCCGCTAAACAAAGGCCAAGAATATTAATCAGACGAGTTGACTGTGATTGCAGGCACAGTAGTTTGAGACTAGTTCATCGCAGCCTTGTTATCGTCAGTCATCATATGTTGATGTTCATCAGATAGACCAGGTTATGACATGGATGTGCTCCCGTCCTACACCAACGAACACATGATCTGCAACACATCAGCTACATCCGCTCTGTAGACGTCCTGTCATTTCTCCACCACAAATAATACGAAGGCGCATCTCTCACCAATTCCCGTATCTATCTCCGAGCTCCTCAAACATGTCCCTAAGAATGCATACGATAATAGCATGTAGACCCTAAAACCTGAACACCTGACAAAATGTCGCAGGTTGTTGATCGACAGCATATCTAGGACCCGCAGCGGGCCGATCTGATACAGAGTCGCTAGCAAACAAACCCTGTCTCTCGAAGTCGAAGCTCCCTGCAATCTATCATCCATCGCAAGGCGCATGTCTGAGTTAAAGCCAAGGACAATCAGGTGTACATGCTCTAGATGCTCAACCAACAGACATACCCTGACGCCTGATAACTTCTATAGCTAGATGTCGATCATGATATGATGATCTAACAATACGCCCCCGTCGCATCATGAACTTGAGTTGTCCATGTTCGTAGCCAACAGAGAACTGGAGAATCATAAGCACATCATGCAAGCTGACGTCTGCAGAGCGGTGTTTTGAACAATGCAACTGCAAAGCTTCATAACAGTGCATAGAGTTGCTCGATGGATGTAACGAAACACGCCGAGCTCTCCGCCTCTTCAGTATCCGCATGGTGTATCCCCCCTTCAGGCTGACATGAAGGGTCCTTGCGATTAAGCACGTTGCCTAAAGCGATAGGGCCGCAGGTAGAGCGGCCATGCCACCCCTAGAGGCCAAGCTATGTAGGCGTCACCACTCACGGAAAGGACTGCGAATCGAGTTCTGAACCAAGGGTTCTTTCGCATATTGGCCGTAACCGTCTTGAATTCACCCAACTCCATTGTCTGGTGCGGTTGTACTTTAGATATGCATACATATGCACGCCGAGATAGAATACCTTGATCGGAGAGAGCACACCGTTACTAACGTGGAAATAGCTGCATGTTTGATGAGCAACTCGTGTTGACACGCAGCTCATGGTCCCATTACAAGGGACCGTACCCGCTGATAACCTTGCGAATCATCACCACGTGCAGTTACGGAGGTTGCTTCTGGGTGGGAACTCATAACAACCTGCAGGATATAGGTGAGCCAAGAGATGATGTAACCGAGGTATCACGACAGCCAGAGGGAATATCACGCCCATATCACTGCACCTGGATAAGAAGCACGTATATGTTACAAGTCGAGGCAGGTTGCTGGAATTCGAATCCACATATCGATATCGAGGTTGAGAGAGAAGGGTAACGAATTCCGACGGAAACTTGTTTCGCTCAGCACCATGTTTCATAGCGTGGGCGGAAAAACTTGTGTGTCTCATAATCCAACCCCCCAATTTGAAAGTCGGGTCGGGTCAGGACAGTAGCGACGAAAATAATCGGTAATATTGGACAAACAAAGAGTGACAAAAGAGTCCCGTCACTTTGGGCGAATTGGGGTTACATCGTTGGATCGATGGATGTTGCTCTCCCCTCAGGGACTCAATTAAAGACGCCACCTACAACTGTTTGTTCCAATCAAGCAACGTGATGGTCATTCTCACCGCCCACTCAGCAGTCGTCGCTGTGCCAAATGTAGCCAAAAATATCAAAGTCAACCTCGCATCATTTCCCCAGTACAGGGGGCCGGACATTAGCAGTCCGCTCGCGAATAGGTAATTGATGTGCTGTTCAGTAGTGATCGCCAACCCTTGTGCGGCTGGCTTTGAGATAAAGGTCGAGACCAGATCCAGTGGAGGCTGAACTATTGAGGGCGTGCCGTCGCGCAGTGCAGGGAGGCTATCTCTCGTTAGGTGACATTATCTCAGGGAGGGCAAGCTGAGCAGCCTCAATGTCAATTGATTATCGGCTGAGCATGAGTGTCAACATGTCTGTCTCGGAGCAAGGAGCACGTTGAAACTCTTCAACAATCGATCAAACACAGACCATATGTTCTGCCCGAGAATGATTTCCCCATCCGTGCACCTGCAATATCGCAGTTCGGAATGTGGGAAAGGGGCTCACGCGTATGAAGCTGACGACATGAGCCTGAGACAAGACAAGACAGGGACTTGAGGTACAGGACATTGCTGTATTCGTTTGTATGTCCGTCAGAATGATGGACACGAACAGGGATCGTCAGGGGACGCCACACAACAGCAGCCATCGTCATATGTATCCCCTGACTTCCACGTGGAGAGGGTGCGTGCCCCTGGGGCCTGTGGCTTGACAGCCCTGCCTCTAAGCTGAACAAGAGCCTTGTGGGCTGTCTAGGCTGTGATGGTAACGCTACAGGTGGTGTGGTCCATTTGGTCGCTGTGGCTTGCTGCTGAACTTGGAGAACCAATTGTTGTCTGAAGGGATGTGGCTTTGACCTCGTCCCAATGGGCCCTTTGTCTACGGAACGAGAATATTGCCAGCTCTAGCGTTTGCGTGTTCCTGACCTGACCTGTCGTAAGCTCGTTCTGTGCCGGCAGTGCTATAGACTGAGACATTGTAGCTGAGAGTCTAGCTTAGCAGGTCGGTCAACTTTATTAGAGCCAACTAACAGCATCGAAATGTCACTGACATGATCGCCGACTTTTAGTCAAAAGTCGGGAGACTCTCCCGACATGGAGGTCCCGACGGTTGGTCGGTGGGCGACTTGCAATGAATGCAAAGGAAGTTTCTAAACTGACTAGAAACCGAGATATTGGGTTTGGTTTTGTTACGCTAGACGGAGACGGGCCAGTAAATGGGCGAGAAGCTACGGTACTTGTTCTCGATGTCAAGCCGTCGGCACTATTTTCAAGGCGAGAGGACAGAGTTCTCACAAAAACCAGTTTTCAACTCGTGGTTACCCGGCTGAGGCGTCAAGTACGGTTCCGCCAAGTCTCGTAAAGTCCGACCGCCTGGATGAGTTCAACGGTTTGTGGACAAGCCGCCGGCTGGCTGAAGACATGAAGCCCCTAAGCCTCATCTGGAGCCGAGGCACGGCGTCTCCGTGATGTCTGATGTGCAGCATGACCAAACTTGACTGTGAGTGGCCCGAGAAACCCCAAACACACTTGAGACGGGTTGCGGTGATCTCTGTTCCTTGTCAGAAATGCGACGGTGTCAATTGGTCTGAAAGGAGCGGCCGCTTTCTCATCTCGGCAAAGCAAAAGGCAACGGCAACCTAAAGGGTCAGAGTACGTTACCAGCACGGCGGAACGGACATTATGTTTGGTACGTATCTATGCCAGAGTCCGGAGAAAACTGCCGAGAAGGGCAGAATACTCGCCAGCGGTGATGGTTCTGCGTCAGATGACTCCAACGTACCAATAATGTTAGAGATATTGAATGTTCAGGGTAGTATCAGAGGAATCACTCAATGATTGATCGCTGCAGGCATTTCTTCCAACAGGTCCAGCCAGTCAGATCATAGACTGATCAAAGATATCAGATACGGTGAAACCTATCAATTCAAAAGCCGAGTCCCGAAACTGATCGGATCGTCCTTGAACTGTAAGCAGAACAACGAAGAGTTAATCACTTGCCTCTTTTTAAACCATGATCTTCATTATCGGGTCAGAGGGTTCTGACATGAAACGGACAACAGGGCGGAATTGATGTCAATGAAGATCACATTTTCAGCAACACGGTTCCGCTCAGGAATCAATCGCAATGGCGGTATCCATGATTGCCATCCAATTTGCCACCATTCCCACTTTCTGGATACCCCCAAGGAAGTCGGTGAAGCAGATTTCAATCAGAAACCCGGCGGTCTGGAACTGACACGGGGTCCTGGGTCTCATCTCAATAATAACCCCAGATTAAAAAGGAAATATGGAGAGGAACAATCGGAAGAAGAAAGGAAAGAAAAATCTTACTGCTAGTGTGACACACTCACCCCTGGTTTCCAAGTAGCTGATACTGTACAGTGGATGGAGATCACCACCTCAAGGAGGACGATATCGGCACAAGTTGGGATGAAACTAGGCATACTGTACCCAGCCTCGTCATCAATCATGAAATGATCAGCCGTATAACGCAGCCTAAAGGCCTCCAAGGCTCACTGCACAACTGCCCTAATAGCCGTTGGGACCGTCTGTTTGCCGCTAGTGCTGAGTTTGCCACCACCCGTTCTTTTAGTCAGGGGCACAAAACAACCCCGACGGCAAATTATTTCATTAATTGAATTATGTACGAGGAAGGGGCTTGCATCTGGTCCGTGTTTCTGATTATTGAGGCTGAATTGAATTGTCTTGTGGAGATAATTATTGTTCGAAGGGATGAATAGTTCAGACATCGCCAATGCAGGGTCCAGGGATGTAATCTCCCAACAGAAGTACGACATAGGAGAAGGGGTACGTCGGTCTGCAGGTATGTTTGTACAGTCAGCAAGGCTGCCGTGCTCCATTTCTTTTTTCAAAGGTCTATTGAGTGCACGTGCACAATAGTTACCAGCTGGAAATTTACTGATGGCAAAAATAAATAAAAATTACAGGGGCATTGCCTGGCGCCTCAGAACAAAGACGGAGAAAAAACAGAACCAGCTTGCATGCACACCCCTTTCAGCATGGACCAAATGAGATACTCAAACCTCATGTACCGACCGTTGCTCGGTACAGTCTCAGTGGATATGAATATTATCGTCCACTACTATTGAAGGAGTAGACGCTCAAGCCCTGTGTTGGGCCGTGTAGATGCCCAAACCTGCTCACTGACGGGATGTCGTGCATGATGTTTCTGATGACTGTTGTCCGTGTAAGTCCGTTGCATCATAGACAACTCACACAAAGACCCGGCATATGGATCAGAAACGATGGATATCATGCAAGTTTGTCACCTTTCCTGCCCCAGCGCGTTCCTACGTAAGCGTCTAATCGGCCAACACATTCAAAGGCAGTGGGTGCAAGTGCCCGTGTTGGCTTAGCTATAGCGGTAGTTTATTAGCCTCTAGTCTCTACGCAGGCTCCGTCTCACAAGTGCAGCAGCTTAAAAATAAAAGTGAACCAAATTGGCGGTAAGCTAAGAGCTAATGTGACATCTCCGAAAACACCATTTTCAGCCAAGCCACAGACGGACGGGAACCAGAAGACACACGTAGCATTGCTCCGTTATTTCATCGAGTCCGAGCTTGGCTCTAGAATCAAATCCCGACCCTCGAAATTTCCAAAGAATATTCTACGAGATGGACCGGGCTCTTGTCGGTGTGAGGTGAGGTGATCCAGAATGTCCTCTCGGTAATCGAAGGTCATCCATGCTCTGACGGTGTTGGCCCTGACGCCTCAGTCGGCAAACGATAACGCCAACCATGACACTTTTTTTTCACGACATCCATGGTCAAAGTGTGGCACCTCATTCCACATCCACAGCCATGGAAGCCATGGAACGTCCATAGAACAATTCTAATCAAACCCACATACAAAGTTACAGTCCACAGCAAGCAAAGAAAATAAGGCCATGACCATCTGTTCGGAAGTTTCGGAGCTATTGGACTTACACGGGCCATTCATGAATCGTTTGGTTCTCAGGTTTCTTCTTTCAACCCGAAACCCACTCTCAACTCACAAACATGCGCTCACCAGGCTCATGGAATTGCGGCATGTGCTGTGCAGCAGATATAGGACCCCTATGACTTCATTACGATGATCTTTGACCGCACTCAGCGTGATATCGCGCCCTGAGCGCTCGCTTCGAACGCACAGTCACAATCGCGGTGAGATGAGGTCTTTTTGATTAGGTCTACGGATACAGGAGTGGGATTAATAATAAAAGCGAGCACAACAAAGAGAGCGAAGCGAGATCTGCTACATACATAAAATAATGGGGTCAACCGATGGATGGTCAGAGTGGAGGTTTCATTTCACCTTAAGAGCATGCATGCCTTGAATACGAATAAGCAGACCTTTTTTTTTTTTTTTTCTCTCTCTACTGTGGGGGTTACAAACAACGTTGACCGCACACCGTTAAATGCTGAGCCTCTATGCCAAGGCCCAAAAAAAAAAAAAAGAAGAGACATGCAATGCATGGGTCTGCGAGTTGTATACCGCAACGTTGCCGGCACAGTCGGGATTAAGGTCAGAACTGGACAACAACATCGTCACAAGGCTAAGAGTGTGAGTCATTCAAGACCCCAGATGTAGGCAGGTATCAAGCTACTGGGGGCACAGAAGTGCATGATGGGATTGGGGAACACAGTTGGCAGGCAGGGATACAGATCCGGAGTCTGGGTTGGGCAGTGTCACCTGCGAACCACTCAACATCAAACCCCGGTGTATGTAACGAATACATTGCCGTGTAATGTTTTGAAGAGGTTGTGTAAGTGACCGTGAATGTAGGGCTGCAGACTGTATCCGTACCGAAAGAACAGAAGAGGAGGGAAGAAAAGAAGGAGGCGGCGGCACAGCAATACCACGAGACATTGATGCATTCGATATGCCCCGGCGAAACAGATCTGTAAGAATAATACCATGCTTTGTAAATGGCTTACACGGCTTAGCGGTACTATTTTTGTCTTCTCCGTCAGTTGAAGGAGCCTCGTAAAACCACGTCTCACTAAGCAACATGACACGGGAAAAAACGTGTTGTAGCCAGGCACAGGCACGCAGATTATGGTAGTCCTCATTTACACTTTTGGCCTTCTCAACTGTCGGGAGAACAAACGTCAAAGCGAAGGTTTTTCTTCACCATCGGTTAGAAGAGCACTGGAATGCTCGGTACGCTTCTACCGAAGGCGGCCCGCGTCCTGAGCCCGCCAGACCAATACTGCACCTCTGTTCTCTGTTAAAGTTTTCTACGACACATGTTTGAAAGGTGAAGTGCGTCAGAGCCTCGCCAGCCGTGGTGCCTAGGCTTACGGAGAGTTCTGGGTCGCGAAACCGGTGCGATATGCCGAATACCAGTAGAAGCAGGGAGTAACCTGAAACGAATACGTTTATTTTCAACGACGGCGAACGCACTACTAGTCTACGCCGTAATAGTAAGATAATCAGGTGGCATTTCCGATATGGGAAAGAAATTACCCTCCATTGCTTGGCCATAGACCGAAACATGCCAACTTGGACAGACAAACACGTGTTGTTACACGCCAGCGTTAGGTTGTATTGCGGTATGGATGGTATGGTATCGTGTTATCGATCTGAGACTTTTTTTGGCACCAACAACCGAGACATGGGAGCAAGGGAGATGATCGGTCAGTGTAAGTTAAGTTATGTTAGAGGTAAAAATTCGTATGACACCAACGTAACTATGGATATTCCCCCCGCAATCGAAATAATTGTCTTTGGGGGTCTGGACTGCATCTATCAGACCGACAGCAGCATTAAGGCCCAAGTACGGAGTATTAATGCAGCTCCTAATTAGTTCGATAGTTGATGTATATCGGTCAGTCAATATCATACCCACATACCAAGTTGCTTCTTTTCAGCGGTCAAGATCTCGCCTGCAGACATGCCTGCATACTCAGCCCTAATCAATGTTGTTGAGAAAGAGCCAGTAAGCTGACGATGGAAATTCGCAAATTGGGTTTCCCATTTGTGTGTGACATGAACCAAGCGGTGACAGAAAACCGCCGCCCCTGGTCTCAGCTTTTCCAGGGCGTTTGGTTTGGTGAGATTGTGTCTATTTTTTACCAACGCTTCATCTCAACTCACATGTGAACGGGGGCATGACAGTCAAGGTTCAGGCTCATGGACCACCGAAATTGGACGTCATTCAACGAGCATCAAACACCCTGGGCAGCATACCCACCTGAGAGGGAGCCTAGGCGAGGAGGGCTAGAGCGTAATCTCAATCTTGTACAATTGGCCAGGGTGAAATTCTTCGAAAGCTTCCATGCGACGTTCTATACCAGGATTTGCTGTGGAACCCCCAACAAAGAACCAGCCTTTCTCCAGCTTCACCTGTTTCACACTGCTTGGCTGACGAGGCCGTCTAAGCCGTTCTGCCAGCCAAGATGGGCGTCGACCACTGCATCTTCCAATAATTGCCTGTTTTGTCAAAATGAATAACGCTACGAAGGTGATGGCTGCCACGGAGAAGATAAAATCAAACGGCTCGGTAACCGGACTCGTTGGAATGAATCAGTACATACTTTACTTACTGGCTGGTCTGGACTTGATTTTCGCTGTAGATTTTTGACGTCGACGGGTTTCGTTTTCCTGAGTTGCCCTCCTTGGAGAACTAACCTAGAGGTTTGGTGCGCCTCCACGGCGGAAGCCGGTTCCTAAGATTTACACTGGCGGTTGATAGCGCTGGGCCAGAGTACACGCCGGCTCATGATACTCGTGGCCTTTGGACGCATCAATTGGATACCCAGTACCGGTAACAGTCAGTTTTGAGTTGACTGCATCGAATATCACATCTACGGGCTGCTGGTTGTGCTACATTGGCAGCCTGCTAGGCAGCCCAGCTGATCTCTCGATATCCAATAGAAGGTTGATAATGCGCCGTAGGAAGCAAGGAATCGTCATAATGGGCATTTACAAAGTGCCCCCGTTATTGCTTTTTTGGGGTCGGCCGGCATTCAAAAGTCCAATGGGCGTGTCGTACAAGCAGATGATTGAGAGTGTCGTATTGGTAGAGACTAGGCTGGGCATTGAGAGTAAACTGCTGTGCTGTACGAACTAATTGATGCACATTTGCATCTGCAGCATCGGTGAGGACAAACACAATACCTACCCAGTAGAGACTGAAAATGTGGCCGAGCACATTGCATTTGTGCTACTGCATGCACAGGGTTCAGGATGGGTATCAAGAGACAGCATGTAATTAATTGTGAGTTGCAATATTAATTAATTATTGAATGAAATGGTGGATTTTACTGAATTACTGGGCGCTTTGTTGTGCGACAGGGGGCCGATTACTGATGACTTGGCTTGATTGCTGTAAAGGGACTCCATGTCTTGTTATTCTATGCCATCGACCGTTTGCTTGTTTCAATTTCCGTATTTCTATTTTTTGTCACTGTCCGTTTTAGCAAGAGGCTTGCCAATGAAAAGGAGACAATATAGGAGGTGTATCGTATTCTCTTACACCGCACCAGAATAGCTGGAGAGAAAACCCAAGGCTCGGCTGTCAATTGACTGCCCGCTTGCTTCAGGTGTCCGGCGGGCTCTGGTACCTAGGGCCAAAGTACCTCGACTGACGTATCTACCTCGTACGAGAGAGCCTTAGCTCCATCCTGACCTCCATTTCACATTTCAGCGTGGCATGGCCCACGGCATGGCATGGGTATAGGGGGTGTGTCCTGGAGCGGGTCCTCATCATCTCCTGGAGGGCTGAGGGCGTGCAAGCACACCCCCTAATTCTCTTCTCTGCCCCCCCTGTCTCTGTCTCCAAGTGGTGCCCTGTGTCTTGCGCCCTGGCTGCCCTGGCTGGGCTGCTTCACCTCAGATTACCTTTTGGCTCGGAGCTTGAGCTGGGCTGGAGGCACAAACCAAACACCAGACTGCCCTGGCCAGGAATATTAAAAGGGCAGCGACCTCCCTCTTCCCCACGACCGATCATTCACATCATCAACTCAATAAGAATCTATTCAGGCATTCACTCTTGGCCTCTACTAGCTCACTTACATCAACTCAACTTACAAGCACTCGAGCACTTACACAACAACTACCACTACTACTTACTACTACTACTGCCACTACTTGATCGATACACTCGGATCAACTCAACCACCAAACAACATCTACATCTGGAACTGAGCCATCTACACTCGGTTCTCAAAATATATCAACAACTACTACTCGAAGCTATATCTTCAAACTACCATCAACATGCCTGCTCAACGACCTTCGCAGCTTCCTCCCTGCCCTGGCCCCCCTCCCAACCGACCTCTGCCTGCTCTTCCCAAGCGAGGTTAAAGCATATCGACAGTATCGACAGTTAACCAGCATGTGTCTTGGGTTTCAGCCTCTTCTCCGGGATCACGCAACCACCAATACATGACACCAACAGGCAGGCACTTGGCTTCAGCTCTTCTCGTCGTCGGTTACACAATGGCAAAGGACAAGGTTCGCCCGGCTCTTGCGACCTCCCGCGCCGCATATGCACATGCGAACTACGACTGAACCCCTATATGCACATAATCTATCATAATCACTCTGGGTTTTGGTATGCAAGCCGCCTGCATGCAAAATACTACCGCTTTTCGACTGGTTCATCCGTCAAATCAGACAACCTGCTTTTACCGGATCTTCCTGGCCACTTTTGCCCAGGCATTTCGCGACCCGGTCAATTCACCAACTTCGTCCCTTATGGCTGGACCGACCGGACTCTTCAACTTCACTTCTTTGCGTGCGCCCTTCACTAAGCGCATTATCGTTACAATACCCTATATTACACTATCTAATAACCCTTTTACCCTTTCTCTACTTCGTTCATCACTATTTGGGAGGAATTTGTTCCACGGTCTTTCAAGGGAACTGTATCAATAGACAGGCATTATCACGGCGTCTCACAACATACACCGCATTGTTCCACTATCTTTGGCATTGCGCGCATGTGGGCTTATTGTTTTTATGATGAACACGTTGGTTGGGAACATAGATATCATTTGGGATGGGGGTTGGCTATTTACACCCGATTATCCTCTGGAGCAAATGGGATTACCTTATGTTTATGTCCACTGATCACTCAGTGTTGACGGAAATGGAACGAGATACCAGGATACTTTTTACGCGAACTCAATCAAACTTGAAATTGCCCCTAAACAAACAAGATTCAAAAGAGTGACCTTTGTCTCGCAACGATAACTTGGTATGGCTTCCCTTCTTTTTTTTTCTTGCTTCCCGTGTCTCTCCTTTTGCGAATCTCCAGACCCGAGAATTGCTTGGCGGACGGACCACTCCAGGGCCTGATGCCTTACAAAGCGAAATGTCAATTGCGTTGCTCAAATTACCATGTCCCCCTGTCTCGATAGCGCCTCGTGATCTTTAGTATCCTTGTCCAGTAGCTCCCTTGCATCGTACAATCTTTGTCATTGTTCATTAACTTATGCCTGAGCTGGGTTTGGCTCATGGGCATTGCCAGGCACAGGCACAGAAACAGCAGTTCGCTTCCCTACATAGCAATTCTCACCCTTTGATGCCTACGCCGCGCTTCTGCAGCGTCGATCCGAACAGCTGACGCTCGCCTCAACGACAACTGAAACTTACAGGGCCCCTTTACCAGGGGAACCTGACTGCTTGCGCAATACATTACTGCGGCTGCCCTGAAATATCTAATGATAGTGGTGATAATTGCCATGTACTATCATGTCTTACCCGTCTTCAACTGCGGCCGGACATGCCGTGGCTTACAAGGTAAGAAACCCGGCGCTGATCGCCTCCTATTCCCCAAGTTGGAGATGTCACCGGGGTGAGGGGCAGACAAAGACAAGATTCATCAAATCGTCATCTTTTAGAGAGAAAAACTCGTTCGCTTCGCTTAGTGGTTCCCCTCGAAGTGTGATCTGATCTCCCCCTAAAAGAGCGACCTAACGTTAGTACAAGGTACGGCACACTCTAACTCTTGGTGCGGAATGGCATCGGAATTAGATCCAATGACAATCCAGAAAACATTAGTGTTTTTCTTTGTCTTTTATGTCCGGCCCTGAGCCGGCGCGACGCCAGTGGGAGCCTCTCAGCCTTCACAACCGCAATTGGTTTGTTGGCCGACCCTATTCAAGTTGGTTGTCATCGATTCCTAAGCAAAGAGTGAGACGGGCTGATAGTTAGTTGGGTTCCAAGTCCGAGGTCGAGAGCTAGCCAACAGGCTGGGATGATTCATGATTGGTACCAGCTGAAGGTGAAGAAATCCAAGTTCATGGTATTGGAGTCTTTGGCTTGTAGTAGTTTGCTTGCTTCAATTGTTTGGCTCTGCCACTCTCACAGTGAGAATCATTAAAAAAGACGACCGTGCACATCGAAAATGATGAAACAGGCGGTCACGCCCATCAAAGCTATGAGGCTGCTTATCTTTGACATATTTGGATCGTCTAATCGCCATGTGGCGAACATGGCCAAATCTTTTGCTCCATCACCTCGTCATGTTCCTGTGCCTGTCTCAGAAGATTGACGATCGCTGTCAATGTCCGTTCTGTTACCGCTTCAGGGGTACGGGTGAAGATTACCGACAAAGCCCTGATTGTCCGTCGAAATTAGGAGTTGGACGAAGATCACTCGTTACCATCGGCCCAATTACGCAATGGATGAATGGCACAAGCTAGCTGTAGTGAGCAGTGATTAGTGGTGCCTCAATACCTATACTTCCGCTCTGCTCTGGCGGTTGGTGTAAGTTTGTTGGTGAGACGTTCCGATCGATGTGGCTCATATCGACCACTAGTATTTGAGAGCAGTTGTTGAAACACCAACGTACATACCGTAATCATTCAGCCCTTGTTCATCTTATCTATCTCCGAAACTCTGGGTTCTTGTTTGACATTGGTTCAGCCAACAGCGAAACAACACTCTGAGGGTAGGTATGCAGATCAGACCTAGTTGTCAAAGTATGTATCCCGGATAGGAATATGATATTTCTCCAAAGTGGGTATAAGTGGCTTCAGGGACTCAGAACGAGAGAGTCAGTCATTTTGACCAGCCAAAGCCGTTTCCATGACATGAAGAGCCAATGGCAATGATATGCCAGATCAAGATAGTCTTCGGGCTCGAACCTGGCCGACAGGACGGGAGGCTGTATCATGTTAAAGCCCGACCCGATGGTGTGAAGGCTAGACAAAAAACAATACAGATAGCCGGTTCGAACTACTGAGAGAATTTAGAGTTCTGTCGTATTAAACTTAACCCTCACGATGCAGTATTTTGTCACCTACAGACGAATTATGGAGTAGAGGGTTCCCGCTATGATACTGGGCGCGAAAATCAATCACGTGGCTACGCGCTGTCACTCATAGCGGGCGGGGCACTCTGCTAGGCGCTGCCAGGCTAGTCGAATAGAGACAAGAACAACCACAAGGCTGGCGTTTGTGAAGCCTTCAAGAGTTCCCCGACCTCGAAGATCAACTAAGTTTTACTTGGTGATATTGGCGTATCGCCACGAGATCTATCACAAAACTTTATACCCTCTCTCCGCCTCAGACTACCGCGCGCTTCCGTTACTGCGGACTGAATCCCGCAATCATACAACCTTTGCTTTCGGAGCACATGACGTCTGTGGTATAGCTACAGACAACCTGGGATAGCTTCACAGCCTGATCGTCGGACCCTGGCCAGCCATGTTAGACCTTCACGTATGGGGCTCCGCCTTTGGCCTCCCGTCCATTGACCCCGAGTGCCTTGCTATCATCACATACCTGCATAGCAGCCTCCCTGTATCAGCCTGGCGCCTGATTCCAAGCAACGATCCTTCCATCAGCCCGTGTAGTATGGCTTACCATTACCGTTGCCTTGACTGAACCCTGTCTTGCTGACCGTTGCAACCAGATACACTACCAGCATTGTATGATGAGGGCGTATGGGTATCAGGCTTCGGTCCTATTGTCGAGTACTTGACTGACAAGTCCATCGGTGACAATCTGGATGCTGGCCTGACCGACATTCAGCAGGCTGACCGTGTTGCATATGTTGCCTTCTTGTCTGCGCACGCTGCTCCATTGCTGGATCTTTCACTCTATGTCTCCGCTGCCAACTGGTCAGCCACAACTCGGCCCGCCTTCAGCACTCTATTATCCTTCCCATTGACATGGACAGTTCCGCCACTGCTCCGTGCCGAGGCTGTTAAACGTGTTGAGCACCTGGGCTTTGCTGATATGGATACCGACTTTGACCCTAATGGCGGCCTTCACCTATCCTCCGGAAGAGATGCTTTACCAGAGACATTCCGAAGGCACATTCCTGTGAGGACAAAGAAGACGATTCATGAAGAAATGACCCCTGAACAAGCAGTTCTTATAAGGTTATATGGAATCACAGAAGACTGTCTCACTGTGTTAGATGATTTCCTCGAGGGAGGGCCCGAGGAGAAGATGCATGGTTTCTTCAACGGTACAGAAATCTCATCTTTGGACTGCTTAGCCTTTGGCTATCTCGCCTTGATGCGTGATGCCCCCGTACCAAGATCTTTCTTAAAAGATTGGCTCATGAAGAAGACACCTCGGTTGTCCACGTTTGTTGACGGTATGAAGACAAGATGTCTGGACAAGTCCAAACTCTTGCCGTGGGTTGAGCCTGGTAATAACACCGTATTACGCATTGGAAGCCGAACTCTTGACAGCATCCTTCACAACGTTCCTGGTCTGGGTGATGAGTATGCGACCGAAGTGCGAAGACGTGCTGAAGGAGGTATCACTGGCATTGATGCCAGATCCCTCATGTTGGCATTGAGTCTCCTTGCCACAGGTGCAGCTCTTGGCTATGGCTATCACACATACAAGGCACTACAGCCATTTGGATCACGGATACAAGTGTGGTATTCACACAAAAACTATTCGAAACTCAGCGAGTTTGGTGCGCTGGGCTCCATGTTGGGCAGTGTATTAGGAGGGCCAGTGGAAGCACCTAGACCATCTCATCCGTCAAACCAGGCTCGGTTCGTCGAGACCGATACAGACGTGGACTAGGAATGATGATAACGATGTAAAATTATTGTACATTTATGTAATAGACAAACCACTTCCAAATACCCTCTGTCAGAGGGATAACCCCAAAGGATGTTCCCTTCCCGTGATCTAGATGTTGCGAACTATCTATCATAATTTTTCTCAAGGCGTATCAGACCCATTGCCACTTAGTGACTTCACATCTCTTTGTGTCATGATTCATATCTGTCTGATCTCTTTGCCAACCATCTCAGGTCGCTCAATTTCCCACTCATCTCGCAAGACGGCGAAAGTGAGATCTGTCACCAGCAGACTCTGACCCAAACTCCACACAAGAGTGATGGCATAGAAGAAATTGGCATTGCCGCTTCCTGCATAGATCCAGAGGTGGTAAAAAGCTGGCCCAAGGAATGTCGCGTACAGCAGCGTAGAGGTGGTAACAAAAGCGTACCGCATAAGGGGGAAAACATGTCGGAACAGAGGGACCACAGACAAGAAGAGGCTGGCATCTGCAAGCGAAGGATAAGGCTTGAAGATTGAGAAAATGCCCAGTAGGATGGTCAAGACAGCCAAGGGCTGGGGGCGGAGACGGATAGAGAGGGCTGCAGGATAGGCTGCAAGATGCAGCCAGAAGACGCCAAGGAAGAAAGCCCTAAACGAGTCAAACATCTCAATGAAGAAATACCACCACAGTCCCACGTTAGGTGTGAGATCCGATAAGGTCAATTGGATGCCATATGTGCGAGCCAGGAACTCCCAGGAGTTGTTGGCAAGCAAAAAAGACATGCCCAATAACAAAACCACGCACCCCAGCACAGCAGCTACGTTAGTAGCTGCAAACTTAGTGATGCAAGCAATCCGACGCTTCTCAACTTGGCAATCATAGGCAAGGAGGACAAGCGGAGGGAGGAGCAGGATAGGATACATAGACAAATAAGATGCGAAAGAGATTGCGACCATGGCGTTGAAAGGAGATCCTTGGATAGCTTTGGCGATGGCAAGAAGAATGGCGCAGTTGGTGAAGACGCCTGTTGATCGTCCTATACATGTCGCAATGGTGTATGGGTTGAACAAGAAGCTGGCACCTATTAGTTCTGATACACGAAGTTCTGAGTCAAGATATCCCTTACCCAGCAGCAATTGCAGCACTACCAAACTTATTGGCACGGCGCGGCGATGTAAATAGCTTCGAGTTGCCCGCAACACCCGATTCGGCAATTTTATACAGAGCGTCGGCGCTGAGGAGGTCGACGGCGATGTAGAGTAGGTGTGTGAAGATGGGCCAGCTCTTTACGTCGGGGAGTAGCGAGAACAAGGGCAACAGAAGAGGAGCCTGGTGGAAGACACCACCATCGTATGGCGAGACATTGTTCGTATATAGGAATAGACCTTCTTGTACTTGGGGGTTTGTAAGTAAGCTACATTCGATGCTCGTTATGCGACGACCGGTTGAGACTTACATCGCTTGAAGCTTGTGACGGGGGTGGATATCTCGACGCGACCTGTTAGGAGATCGGGCAGGCCAGGGAAAGCAAGGAATAAGATAAGTCGGAGCAGGGCAGCGCCGGCGAACACGCTGGCTTTGCCTCGCAATGTCATTGTGTCTGACATTGCATCCCTCCAGCGAATATTGTTGGTATAAACAGCTCTAGAGGAGGTTCGTGATACAGTCGAATTGGAGGCCACTTGGCTGGTTGAGCTCCCGTCCTTGCTTGGCGGCCCCTCCACCTTCGGGATGTACCTGCGACGGGAGAGGGGCCGCTGGAAGAGCCGCTGGAGCTTTTCGCCAGAGCTCGATAACAGCTCCACTATATTCGCTGGATTGGCGATGCCAGGCGCTGCAAATGCGCTTAAGGGTGCTGAACATGCCCCCGGGCGGTGAGCGGCCCATCACCCAATAAAAAGGCCCCATTTGTGGTCTAGTCCATACTAGCGTCAGATCAAGGCGGTACAACCTGGCATAAAATTTCACGTTGGAAAAAAAAGTTGAAAGATTGTTAGGAAAAAGTGCCCCGCTGGTTTCGCAGAGAGATACAATCAACCACCAACACTATCACATCTCCAATTAACAATGCCTCGGATAAAGAAGAAGGGAAAGGCCGGCGCGGCCAAGAACTACGTTACTCGAAACCAGGCGATTCGAAAACTTCAGATCAGCCTTCCCGACTTCCGAAAGCTGTGCATTTGGAAGGGAATCTATCCTCGCGAGCCCCGAAGCAGAAAGAAGGTTTCCAAGTCTTCCACCAGCTCGACTACCTTCTACTACACCAAGGACATCCAGTATCTGCTCCACGAGCCGCTGCTTCAGAAGTTCCGCGATCAGAAGGTTCTTGAGAAGAAGATCTCTCGTGCGCTCGGTCGAGGCGATGTCACCGACGCCGCTCGCCTAGAGGGCAATGCTTCGCGACCTGAGAAGACAGGAAAGCCTCGCTATACTCTTGACCATGTCATTCGCGAGCGCTATCCCACATTTATTGATGCGATCCGAGATCTTGATGACTGCTTGTCAATGCTCTTTTTGTTCGCCAACTTGCCTTCCACCTCCTCGGTTCCCGCTAAGATGATTGCCCGTTGCGAGCGCCTGTGCCTCGAGTTCCAGCACTACCTCATTGTGTCGCAGAGCGTTACCAAGTCGTTCCTCTCCATCAAGGGTATCTACTATCAGGCAAACATCCAGGGCGAGGAGGTCCTCTGGCTGGTTCCTTACAAGTTCAACCAGCGCGTCGTTGGCGATGTCGACTTCCGTATCATGGGCACCTTTGTTGAGTTCTATATGACCCTCCTCGGCTTCGTCAACTTCCGACTGTACACCTCTCTTGGCCTCAAGTACCCTCCCAAGTTCGACCAGGCTAAGGATGAGGCTGGTGCTGAGCTCGGTGCTTTCACCCTCGAGGGCAAGACCTTGGTTGGTGTCGACGAGAACGAACAGAAGACATTGGAGGCTGCTGAGCACAAGCCCGACCCCAAGGTTCAGGCTGCTGTCAACAAGGTTATCAAGAAAATCAAGGGCAACGATGACGATGAGTCGACAACAACGTCCGAGAACCAGGTTGAGGGCGAGGACCAGGAGGCCGGTGTAATTGATAAATTTGAGCCTGCAGTCTCTGGTGGCGATATTCTGCCCCAGCCTTCTAACACTGGAAACAACCCCAACAGCCTCTTCTCCAACCTCACCATCTACCTGTCCCGCGAAACCCCACGACAACCCCTCGAATTCCTTCTCAAGTCTTTTGGCTGCAGGCGTGTTGGCTGGGATGCCGTTCTCGGCGATGGCGCTTTCACCACCAACGAGCTTGACCCTAATATCACTCACCAGATCGTTGATCGACCTCCTATCCAGGCCTCTGCTGAGGATGAGGCTGATGGCGACGACAACCAGACATCACAGAAGCTTGCTGCCAACCGACGAGTTCCAGGACGAACATACATTCAGCCTCAATGGGTTTGGGACAGTGTCAACGACGGCGAGCTGAAGGAGCCTCATCTATATGCTCCTGGAGCTGATCTTCCTCCCCATCTGAGCCCCTTCGTGAGGAACGTCCAGGGTGCATATGATCCCACTGTTCCTCTGGAGGAGCAAGAGCCTGAGGCTGAAGCCATTGAGGCTCAGAGCGATGGCGAGGATGAGGTTGATGATACTGCTGAGGGTATGGATGTGGCTGATTCTGATGAGGGAGAGGGAGAGGGTGGCGAGGACGACGAGTTTGGCGGCTTCTCTGCAGACGAGCAAGAAGAGGACGAGGAAGAAGATGATGCCGAGCAACGGCAAGACGAGCTTGAGGCTGAGCTCATTGGTGGTGCTGTTAAGCCCAAGACCACGAACGCCAAGGCCAAGGCTAAGGAGGACGCTCGCAAGGCCCTCTCCAAGAAGGCTCGCGAGGAGGCTGAGGATCTGGAGCGTGCGAAGGGTATGCTCAGCAAGAAGAAGAGAAAGCTGTATGAGCAGATGGTGTACACAAACAACAAGAAGAGTGCTGAGGACCAGAAGCTACGGGCCAAGAGGAGAAAGTTCGAAAAGGAAAAGGCCACCAAGGGCAAGGCCAAGGCTTAGGCGTAATGTTAAGGCACTGTTTTATACCATTCCTATAGATTTTAAGCTGTACGCGATTAAAAGCATTTATTGAGTTGGTTATACGCAAATCTGTGTTGAGCAAATGCTGTGTCGGTGAATGTTGTCTCAGGTGGATAACCTGGCTTTTACTTTGCGAAGCACCTCTGAAAAACTTGAACTTCTCAACTCACCACAAATACTGGCTCAACCATCCTGGCAGAATACTACCCACGGATAATGTGATTCCTGGAGATTAACCTACATCTGAGTAATTATATTTACACATCATTGTTACCCGTCTTTTCGCCAAGATGGAAGCAAGCGCTACCACCTGGGAGTTAGACAGCGATGAGATCGCATCTATCGCCTCTGAGGACTTGCACGAACATAGACCGAATCGCTGGACGGGCGCTAAATCGACGTGGCGCACTCTGACGGAAGAGGACAGACTGCTCTGGCAATCAATGAAGCAGATTAAAGATCAGGATCTCGCGGTGCATTTATACAATGCTTTTGCGCTAAAGCGACGAGGCCGAAATCCGGAGACAGCACAGGATTTAGTCGTCAGAACAGTGAGTCGATATCATCTTTTATACCACAAGTGGAATGCACTGACGATGTAACTTAGGAATCTGGTGAAGAAGGTGTTTGGGCACCGCCCAAGGCATGGACTGCATGGCCGCTCAAACATAAACATGTGCCCAAGGAGTGCTTCACCAACGAACAGCACGACGAAGATGACCGTTTTACATTCCGCAGAGAGGAAGAGATACTCCCCAGTACTGAGCTTGAAGAAGAAATATCTGCCACTATCTTGAGAACTGCCAAGCGTCGGTTCCGCAGGAGGAAGAGCAAGATGGCCAAACCGTCCATCGAAGAAGATTCCACGCCTCTATATAATGAGAGTGGCAACAGCACACCTGATTCTTTGTCACGCGAATCTTCTGCCAAGCTTGAGACTGATGAAGGCAAAGAAGAAGATGAAGACGAAAAGATGGCTGTCGATGAAGAAGATAGTCGGCGTACACGACGTCATCCCAAAACTTATGAACCAGTCGAGTCTACCAACGACGAGGCATCCTATGCCCTTTTACGTCCATCAACACGACACATTTTATCACAGCTGGACAATACACTAAAAATACTTCATAATTCACGTATTACAGGCATGAATTATCTCTCTGATTCTTCAACTGAAGAGGAGTCAGATAACCAGAGCCAAAGCGGACAGAAGAGATCTCGTGGTCGTCCGCGAAAAATTCTACATGAGGTTGACACATCTGCATCTACCTCACCAGCGGGAGCTGGTAAAACCAGCAGACGAGGTCGCCCCCGAAAAGTCCATATCCCTCATGCTGGAGAATCACATGAAGAGATGCTTCAACGTGTTGCTCGTGAATCTCATCGAAAGATCCCCTCGACGCTTGAAGACAGAGACGCAGCTTTTGAGGAGTGGATCCGCAAAGGTGACGAGATCATTGAGCGAGAGCGATCACGATCTCTATCGTTGAAACGAGCAACTTCTCAAGGGGCAGAGACGGAGGAGGAATCAGTACCAGGAACAAACGCTGAACGTAAGCTCTTAAGATGGGGCTTGCGTGATTGGAGCGATGTGCTGGGCGCAGCTGCTATAGCAGGTTTCTCAGGCGATGCCATTGCGAGAGCAACACGAAGATGCGCTGATTTGTTCGGTGAAGGAATGGTAGTGAGGACGCTGAACGAAGTGCCTGCCACTAATGATAAAGGCACCACTTCCGTCGAGTATCGTCCTGAGCCTATCCAGCTATCCTACTCGGATGAAGAAGACAATGATGAAAGCGATGATGCCGCAGATCTCATACAGCGCCGTGTCGCATCTCGTCAAGCCTCTCTCGCATACTCAAGTCGCAGCCCAGACTCCGTTAGAAGCCCCAGCCGTCACTCAACACGCTCTCCAGGACCATCATCAGCCGTCCGGTCTCCAAGCTCCCGCTCCAACTCTGCAGGTGGAATGTTATTTTGTCCAATTCCCTCATGCGACCGCGCTGCACAGGGTTTCGCACGCAAAGCAAACCTTCGGCGGCATATGGAGCTTATACACCAGGGACAGACGGAAGAACTTGACAGTGACGAGGAGGTTGCAGGTGGTGTACATGTGGATGGCTTCCTCAAGCCTATTGTGCCAGGAAGGGGCTGGAGAGGCGAGGACACTATTCAGAGGAAGAGGAAGAGATTCTACGGCGATAAACTTGGGATGAGCCGTGAGACGAGTTATGCCGAAGAGGATTTGTCCTCATGAAACAGGTGTAATTCAGAGTGCCACTATTATTGAACGACCTTCTGGCCTAGTAACGAGGGAAAGGGTTTGGTTGATTCATACATTACTCACGGCATGCATGGTACAAAAGAATATCTGGTACAAAAGAATAAATAATTTCATATCTGATGGTCCTCTCTTTTCCCTTCTCTAGCTGTACGTGCCCCCCAGATGAAGAAGATAAAAAGGTAACAAAAGATTCCATGCAGGTTTCTAGAAGAAACAGCAAAAGAGAAACTCCGGTACAGGGAATCGAACCCTGGGCTCCGCGGAACTGATCTCTCAGGTTATGAGAGCGCGAAATGTTAGCCACTACACCATACCGGACGGTGACTTGTTGAGGAGAGTCACTGCAATTTGATGCCAACAACGCAGAGGCACTCATACCAGTCAAGCTCGACGTTTGTTTAGCTGAGACAGAAGTAGGT